TTTGCACTTTCTGGTGGTAAGCATCAGTGCATTCTTCTGACTGTTGGGTTGTTGTTGTCGTCGTTATTGTCCACTGAAAACAGCAGCAGACAAGCCCACTTGGGAGATGAGTCTGTCTCTTGCATTTGATGTGGTTTGTATATTCTCACCACCTGCTTTGTTTCACCAGATGGCATCTCCAAGAGAACTGAAACATTAATTTAAATGTCCCCCCCCCCATCTGTCTGAGTTTTATCATCCAGCTCTCTGCATCTAGTTGACCGGTTTTTGTGTGTTTTTTTTTAAAACAACTTAAACACACCCGCCCGCCATTCATTATAAAAATGTACGGAATGGGGAATCACTTTTCAAATATCCTTTTTAATAGAGGCAAGAGTTAGAATCTGAGAACAAGAAGCTGAAAAATGACCTCAACGAACTCAGGAAGGCTGTTGTGGATGGCGTGGTCCAAAACCACTCTTCCCACGACGTTCACGACACCTACCACCTCCTCCTGAACCAGCTCAAGTCAGCGAGCGAAGAGCTGGAAGTACGGAAGGAAGAGGTCCTCGCGCTCCGGACCCAGATCCTGAGGGCAGCCCAGCAAAAAGGCGCAGGCAGAAATAGGGTAATGGAAGAGGAAGCGGGAGCAGCCGACCCCTCCCTCCCTCTCTCTCTGCATGTGCTCTGTTCACCGGGTTAGCCGCTGTCCTGCACGTTGTTTTGCTAAAATCACAAAGTCAGGGTTGTTTAGAAGCTGATTGTTCATCAACTTTTTTTTTTTAAAAAAAGCATTAACTGAGAGAGAGAAAAAGAGACAGAGAGAAAGAAAGAGGGAAACTTCTAATTTTAAATCTGGAAGCTGGTGCAACTTTTGACACGCAGAGGAAATGTTTACAGAGATTCTCAATCATCCATATTATGGTTATCCCCAAAGTGCTTTTTTCAAAAGGCCACTGGACTTTCTTGGTTTTTTTTCTTTGAAAATGTTTTGCTTCTCGTCCAAGAAGCTTCCTTAGTTCTAACTGACTGGATCCTCCTTTTCCCCACGACTCAGTTAGAACTGAAGAAGCTTCTTGGACGAGAACCGAAATGTTTTCAAGGAGAAAAACCCAAGAAAATCCAGTTGCCTTTTGGAAAACGCAGCTTTGCGGAGGAAATGCGGCAGATCAAAAACAGTGATGAAAACATCTGGCTCCAAAATAATGGCCTTCCAATATGGAAATTAAATTCAGTTCAGCTTTGGCAGATAAAGGAGTGACATGCTACTTGCTTTCCTTCTGGGTCTTGAGAACGTGCCCGGAGATTGTCCACCTTGAGCTGCAGGCCACAGAGCAGATGGAGCGTTCTTGCTCCAAGTTGGGATCTAGCGTGGAAGTAAAGGCTGCTTTGTTTAAGGTTTGGGGAAGAGCCTTGGAGGGCGTCTCATTCCCAGCCTTCCCCTGGTCTTGATGGGGCCTTCAGTGGGTTCTCAGCAGACAAAGCTGTTGACGTAGCATTGAATCAACATTGGAATAGTTTGCCTGCAATATTGAGATAACCATGTCACAAACTATGAGTTAGCAGATGACAAGTTTATCAGGGATGCTTAATTTTGACTCCTGCCTTGAGCAGTGGCTTGGCCCCTGGGATTTAAATGGCCCATTACGATTCTGTGACAAGGAAGCTGGAAGGCCTGGAAATCCATGCGACGAACGGAGGAATCTTGGGCCAGTCTTGGCCAAGACTTGGGTCTGGTCTAGAAATGTAGAGTACCAGGTTGGTTCAGGAGGAAGGAATTAGCCGCTTTGGAGGTATTTATTTATTTATTATTTAAATTTATATACCGCCCTATCTCCCTTACGGGACTCAGGGCGGTGAACAGGCGATAATAAAAATCACAATAAATATTGAATAAAAAGCCTGCTCTAAAATACCCCATATAAAACCCCTAACAGAGCCCAAGGTAGAGCTGTGCTAGGGTGTTTCTATTTCTGTTTCGTGATGGAAGTTTGGGTGGTCAAAAGATTTCACTCAAGACTCAGTTGGTTTCCTCAGAAGGTTGACCAGGTGCAAGAAAAGCTTAGTTTATTCTCCAAACTTGGCCACTTTAAGACTTGTGGACTTCAACTCCCAGAATTCCTCAGCAACCAGGTTGGCTGGAGACTTCTGAGAGTTGAAGTCCACAAGTCCTAAAGTGGCCAAGTTTGGAGAGCCTTGGGTTCATAATCTTCCTCCTTGCATTCCCTTGGGAAAATTTTCCCTTCTGTTCTAAAGAGCTTTCTCCAGCTGATCAAATGATGGGCATGTTGACAGTACGATTTTAAAAAAACGATGGCACTGCAAAACATAAATAAACCGAAGTGAAAGGCAAAGAAATTTCCACAGGCGAAAACCTGGCATTTTATTAACCAACCAGTTTCAGTTACCACCATCACTAAGTGCAAGCACCAGTAAAAATGATTCATATTTCAAAGAACTTGCATTGGGAAAATGTTGATTCAAAAGCCTTAATCGGGGAAATGCAGGGGCCAGAGAATAAAGCCAAATTAATTTGTATTTTTAAAAGGGCATTTATGCATATAAATAATAAAGTTATTATTATAAATAATAAGTTTAAATAAGTTATTGTTTAAGTTATTAACTGCTGTGCAAATATCAGAGCAAGATGGGTTCAAAGTCCAGGGTCCCTTTGGATAGTGAGGTGGGTGGAGATCGATATGTAAATATGTTAGCAATTGTGTTAATTGAAAAAAATGGCTAATGCAGTAACTAAAATGAATTGGATGTTAATTGATTTGCTTATCCTAAGGCAGGGGTAGGCAACCTTGGCTCTTTTATGACTCGTGGACTTCAACTCCCAGAATTCCTGAGCCAGCTGTGCTGGCTCAGGAATTCTGGGAGTTGAAGTCCACGAGTCATAAAAGAGCCAAGGTTGCCTACCCCTGTCATAAGGCAATATCAAAGTTAATCCTTCTCCTGAATCATAAGAAGCGCAGTCTTCCACAATATTTGACCTGACATTTCTCATTTTCTATAAAGCTTTTTGCTAGCTCTGGGAGAGTGTCAGAATTGTGATGGATGTGAAGAATTAATATTTGGATTACTTTACAGAACCACAGAATTTCTACTTTAGGGTTGCATCTCAGCGTTAGTATTATTATTATTTTTAAATAGAATAGAGGAGGAAGCAATATAAAGTACATGAGTAAAATTCTGCCAAGTGCCACTTTTCTCTATCTGCAACGGTTGAACTAATACAAAGACGAATGTCTGAGAATGACTTGGGCTATACCTGGTACATTTCCTCCAGCACTGTGATGAATTTTATAACTCTCCCCATTTCGCTTTCGGTTTTAAGCCCTCCTAGAAGGGGGTGCAGTGGCTACGTCAGTGGGGGCGAACCCATGGCACGGGTGCCAGAGGCGGCACTCAGAGCCCTCTCTGTGGGCACGCGTGCCGTCGCCCCAGTCCTAGGCCTTCAGCTGGGTTTTATAAAACCTTTTCGCTTTAGGCCTCCGCCGCCGTGTGCAAAAAAAAAAAAGGGTTCAATCAATCAGTCAATTTCAACTTCTCGCGGGGAAAAAAAAGATCTTGCAAAGTTGGAATTGATGGATTGAACTTTTTAGTCCCACCCAGTCTGCCGTTACCACCGCAGCCACGCCCACCCAATGGGCCACGCCCACCCAATGGGCCACACCCACCCGGCACTCGACGATGCATAAGTGGGTTTTGGGTTGCAGTTTGGGCACTCGGTCTCTAAAACAGTGGTTCTCAACCTGTGGGTCGGGACCCCATTTGGGGTCGATCGACCATTTCACAGGGGTCGCCAAACAAGGCTGTCCGCCATTTTTTCCCCCTTTTCCGGCGGGTGCCTTACCTCCCTTGGGCTGGGCCAGCTGGTGGTCAGCCTGCTCTGTCTCTGCCGCTTGCCAGCTACGCCTCGGCCGGCGCAGGGGGCGGAACCACGCATGCACGGCGCTCCCGGGCAGGGAAAGTCCTCGACTTACGACCGGTTGGGTAGTCCTCGACTTACGACCGGTTTAGTCCTCGACTTACGACCGGTTTAGTCCTCAACCTACGACCAGTTGGGGTCACGGCATTAAAAAGGTTGAGAACCACTGCTCTAAAAGGTTCGCCATCACTGGGCTACGTGGTTAAAGATGCTGAGCTTGTCAGCTGGAAAGCCGACGGCCAAGGTTAGAGACCCAAACACCGCTTGATGGGGTGAGCTCCCGCTCCTTGCCTCAGCTCCAGCCCACCTTGCAGGTCGAAGGCATGCAGTTGCGAGTAGATAAATAGGTACCAATAGTAACAACATTCCGGGCGCCTTTGGTGTATAGCCCTGCTGGTCACATGACCACGGAAAATGTCTTTGGACTCCCTTGGCCAAAAAACGGGTGCGCGCTGCCTCTGGAGTTGGACACGACCGGACAGGGAGACCTTCACCCTTAGATCCCAGCGCTGTTCTTCCACCCAATTTCTGCTCCTTATAAGCTGGCAAACCCTCTTGATTTTACGTTAGTATCCTACATTCCTGCTCCTAAATTTGGGAGCAGTAATTTTGTGAAATGAATTATTCGGGATATTTCCACAGACAGAGAATCTTCACTGCTGTCTTTAAAATGCAGGATTATTTAGAGCAGTGTTTCTCAACCTTGACCATTTTAAGGCATGTGGACTTCAACTCCCAGAATTCCACAGCCAGCGTTGCTGGCTGTGGAATTCTGGGAGTTGAAGTCCACATGCCTTAAAATGGTCAAGGTTGAGAAACACTGGTTTAGAGAAAATTAAACCAGCATAAATGAAATAGAGGTTTGGGATTTTTTTTATCTATCGCCAGTCTCTCTGTCTCTTTCTCGCTAACTCCCTTTAGGTTGTATTACTTGGGCTTTTTCTGTCAGCTTTCTGTTGGCTTTCATTTTGTTTGGTGGCTATTGTAAATGTGCTTGCAAACCCAAAGGAGTGCGTGCACAACCAACGTTATCAAAAACAGCAATAACTTATGAGGCAAGATACTGATTTTTTGACTTTTTTTTAAGGAATCAAGCCTGAGCACGCAAACCAGCTGGCCCAATAGTGACAAGCATATGGACCCAGAAGATGCCATCGAGGCCTACCACGGAATGTGTGAAACGAATCGGTAAGCTGTCTTGACCCACCCATTATGAAAGACCAGAACAAATTAGGAATTGGGGCCTCCTTAAATTCATTTAAAGTATTCAAATTAATTGGAAGGAGGGTCACCAGAGCAGATAATCAACAATGAGAGTACTGCTATACTTCTGCTTGTAAAAACATCCCCTCTACACTGGGCGGTCTGTGGTGTGCCTGTTTGTGGACGTATAATATTTCATGAAGATGTGTCTTCATATCGTAATCTTCTTGTGTTGTGAGGAACTTCTGGAGAACTTTTTTTGCAGTGTCTAGCAACCATCCTACAGTAAATAGTAAGAGGAATAGAATTCTTTTTAAATCTCATTGTGGAGAAAAGTTTACAAACTTAAGTGTACTAAAGGATATAGGGTTTCCTGCCTGAGCAGGGGGTTGGACTAGATGACCTCCAAGGTCCCTTCCAACTTTACTATTATTATTATTATTATGGATCATCGCACAGTCAGCCAGATGTTCAGACTGGATTTGGCATTTTGTCTACCTATCGAGTCCTTTCCCAGGACCTGGGATAGGCATTATTATTATTATTATTATTATTATTATTATTATTATTATTATTATTATTATTATTATTATTATTAAGGTGCTTTTCAAAAGACAACTGGATTTTCTTGTTTTTTTCCCTTGAAGACATTTTGCTTTTCATCCAAGAAGCTTCTTCAGTTCTGAACTAGGCTAGTGCCTGAACCACTAGATTTCTCCCTCTCTCTCATCAACATCAGTGACAGTGAAAGATAGCTGTTTCTGGAGCAAGGATCTTACCTAGAACCTTGAAAAGAACTAAACCTGGAACCTTTTCCTGTGTTTTACTACTTTCAGTGGGGAAGCTTCAGTTCGTATTCTTTTGATTGTTGTTTGGGGTATCAACCTTGTAAAATACGGGAACAAAGCAAATCAATAGCTAAAGTTCTCCCTCGCCATTTCTTCCCCGTGAATGTTAGTTATTCCCTTGTACATTGATTTTTCTTTTGTTGGCCTATAATTCTCTCCCCTTCTGGCTCACATATTTGTCCCTGTGCTACCGTTATCTTGGTCAACTCTGCAAACATTTTTTTGGGCGAGTTTTCCCTCACATTGACTTGCAACGCATTCACAGCCCTATAATAATAATAATAATAAAGTTGGAAGGGACCTTGGAGGTCGTCTAGTCCAACCCCCCCCCTCAGACAGGAAACCCTATACCATTTCAGGCAAATGGCTGTCCAGTCTCTTCTTAAAAACTTCCAGTGTTGGAGCATTCACCGCTTCTGGAGGCGGGTGGTTCCACTGGTTAATTGTTCTAACTGTCAGGAAGTTTCTCCTTAGTTCTAGGTTGCTTCTCTCCTTGATCAGTTTCCATCCGTTGCTTCTTGTCCTGCCTTCAGGGGCTTTGGAGAAGAGCTTGACTCCCGCTTCTTTGGGGCAGCCCCTCAGATACTGGAACACTGCTATCCTGTCCCCCCTCGTCCTTCTCTTCATGAAACTAGACATACCCAATTCCAGCCACCGTTCCTTATATGTTTTAGCCTCCAGTCCCCTGATCCTCTTTGTTGCTCTTCTCTGCACTCTTTCTAGAGTCTCAGCATCTTTTTTACATCGTGGTGACCAAAACTGGATGCCGTATTCCATGTGTGGCCTTACCAAGGCCTTGTAAAGTGGTATTAATACTTCATGTGATCTTGATTCTCTCCCTCTGTTAATGCAGCCTAGCACTGTGTTAGCTTTTTTGGCAGCTGCAGCACATGGCTGGCTCCTATTCACTTCTGGATTCCCAAGTGCTGAATCTAGGCAATATGACAATCCCATCAGAATCACCGGTCTTTTCAAACTGACCTCGTTCCCCCCACATATTCAGAACCACGATACTTCTTAAATGGTGGCATACTAAACCTGAGATTGAATGAATCTATTCACCAATTCCTGTGGCCGACGTGCTTCCTAGGACTCCCTCCTTTTCCCAATTCGTGGTCACGTGAGGTCCTCACTTAACAACCCACAAAGTCCTCAGGTTACGACGGCAACAGGGACTGCCAGAATTGCCACCACTTAGCAGTGAGGTCACATAACTCATGATCCTCCTGCTTTTCAGCCTGGTGCCCTCACCACTAGATCCAACTGGCAAAGCCTTGAGCTCCCACTGCAGAGAGGGCTTGCTGGACCATCAGTTTGTAGCTGTGAGCATTTGCCCTCAAGGTGAACTGTGTCTGTTTAACGTCTTCTGCAGTCGAGCTTTCTGGCTGTGAAGGATGTACATTTATTGAAAAACCCGAAACTTTTTCTACGACTGTATTTTAGAGTAGTGGGGAATTTCTCTCCCACTTAGAATGAATTAAAGCAGGGGTCTTCCAACTTGGCCCTTTGAGGACTTGTGGACTTCAACTCCCAGAATTCCTCAGCCAGGCACGCGTGCCTGGCTGAGGAATTCTGGGAGTTGAAGTCCACAAGTCCTCAAAGGGCCAAGTTGGAAGACCCCTGAATTAAAGTGTCACATGTGAGGCCTGTAACCTGAGGTCCTATTCGTCAATTCTTCTTTGTTTTGCAAAATCCAAAGATCATATCACAGATCTCCTACATTGCAGTTACTCAATCTGGGTTATGTTGATCATGCAAACCATGGTTGGCTGGCTGGGACCACATCAGTGTTTTGATGGACCCACGCACATTGGGCCATTGTGAAGGCCTTTGAAAATAACCAGGAGCCCTTATTCGAATTCAGCTCTTCAAGGTAGGTCTCGCCCGCTGTCACCGTGTAATTCAAAGATGCCTGGAAAAACAGCATTCCGCCTTTAGTAAGCACAGTACACAGGTAGCCCTCAACTTATGACTGGAATTACAATCATAAATCACGAGGGTCATTAAACAGGTCACCAAGTGACTGCACCCGCTTTGGTGACTTTTTTTTTTTTGTTGCAATGATTGTTAAGCAAACGCTGCAGTTGTTAAACCACAGTCAGTGAGTGAAAGCCATAGTTATTAAGAAAACCCATTTTCTCCAGTGGGCATTTTTTGGCAGAACCCAGAAGTAAAAACCAGTTTAAAAAAAAAAAAAAAGCAGGCCCAGAATTGCAATTACGTGACCATGGGATGCTACAAACAGCTGACACACCTGAGCCAGTTGCAAACGCTCAAAATGCAGAAGTTGTGATTGCAGAGAATGTACAGCCATCGGATCTTCAAAAACGGGCCGTAAGTAGCTCTGCAGAGGTCCATCCTAACTTCGAACAGCAACCGGTTATTAAGCGAGGACCAGTTGTGTAGCTGTATGTGGAATTCTTTGATAGAATTAAAGGGTAGATGCGTAACTTAACGGGAAGAGGGGGGATCCCGGAGAACAAACGGTCAACAGAAAGTCAGCAGACTGCAAATAAATACCAAACTTTTGACACCACACATAAACGATTGATTGAATAATTGAGCAAACCATAAACAGCTTATCCTAGCACTGGCTTTTTGAAAAGTTATCAAAGCTTATCAAATTGAATAGCTTATCAAAGCAGGACCAAATGACACCGGGCGATTAAATGACCCCCTTATCTTTCTATTATCTGGCCACTTCAGGGTGACTGTCGAGGTATATAAGACCTTTCTTCGGCCTTTCCCTTGCAATCTGCTGGCAGGGAGCCCAGGAACTGACTTCAAGCATTCTCCAGTCATGTTTATTGGGTCGATTCTATCTCCAAATGCTTTGATGGTGCTTTGAGTGAGCGTTTCCCTCGCGGGGGTCTTCGCTTCGCTTTCCTTTGATCTTCCTTCGCTACAGAAAGTTTATCTGGTGGTTCCAAAACAGGGGTGGGGAACAATGGCCCTTTTATGACTTGTGGCCTTCAACTCCCAGAATCCCTGAGCCAGCAAGCATGGAACTCTGGGAGTTGAAGTCCACAGGTCGTAAAAGGGCCACCGTTCCCCAGACCTGTTCTCAAATGTAAGCACACTCATCCACAGGTGTGGGACGGGGCAGCTCGCCACAACCAGCTCCCTGCTGCCCACTTGCCCTGGGACAGGGGTAGGCCACCTGGGCTCTTTTATGACTTGTGGACTTCAACTCCCAGAATTCCTGAGCCAGCCATGCTGAGGGGAAAGGGAGAGGTTTCCAAGCTGAGCCAGGCTGGCTCAGGAATTCTGGGAGTTGAAGTCCACGAGTCATAAAGCGGCCATAGTTCCCCCATGCTGGCTCAGGAATTCTGGGAGTTGAAGTCCACNGCTGGCTCAGCTTGGAAACTCTCCCTTTCCCCTCAGCATGGCTGGCTCAGGAATTCTGGGAGTTGAAGTCCACGAGTCAGAAAGCGGCCTAGGCCTAGGCCAGGGGTAGGCAACCTCGGCTCTTTTATGACTCGTGGACTTCAACTCCCAGAATTCCTGAGCCAGCGTGGCTCAGCTTGGAAACTCTCCCTTTCCCCTCAGCATGGCTGGCTCAGGAATTCTGGGAGTTGAAGTCCACCAGTCACAAAAGAACCAAGGTTGCCTACCCCTGGCCTAGGCCTAGGCCGCTTTATGACTGGTGGACTTCAACTCCCAGAATTCCTGAGCCAGCGTGGCTCAGCTTAGAAACCTCTCCCTTTCCCCTCAGCATGGCTGGCTCAGGAATTCTGGGAGTTGAAGTCCACCAGTCATAAAAGAGCCAAGGTTGCCTACCCCTACCCTGGGACAACTCGCCGCGGGACAATTCAACCAATACAAAAGTAAAATTAATGTTGATGGAACTGTGGCCAACAATGGGAACATAAAGAAAGTCGATCCAGAAATGCAAAAGTTACAGTAACGTCAACGAAAACGCGTTTACCAATAATGAAAGGAACTGAATGAAACCATTAACGCAGCATTGCCTTGTCCCACGGCGAGTTGATTGCAGTGAGTTGTCTGCGGGACGTTGTCCTGGGCCCCCACAGGTGAGCCCTGGGAGCAAAACACGGCATGTCGCAGCATCGGTTGTGGGTCCGGCTTACAGGTTTGTGAATGGGCCATCCTGCTTGCGACCGAGGCCTCCTCCTC